CCTTTTTTTTTTTTTTTTTTTTTTTTTTTTTTTTTTTTTAACTTTACATTAGGTTGGAGCCTATGAACTGTCAATATTTATCCTTGCCTGACCTGGAGAATAAACAGTTTCATACAAATTCATACTGCATGGGTTCTTTCGTGTCTGGCTTCTTGTGTTAATGTGTTATGCTCACAGGATCCAAGTTCCTACACACTGTAGATTGCTCACTCCTACTGCTATATAACCAACATTACCTCTCTCTCTCCTCTGCCCCCTCTCACACTGGGAAATTGATCCCAGGGCCTTCACACTGAGCTACATCTCCAGCCTTGTCATTTATTTTGAGACAGAGTCTTGCTGAACGGCAAAATTACCCGGGCTGGGCTTGAACTTGCAATCTTCCTGCCTCAGCCTCCCAGAGAGCTGGGAAAACAGGCATGCACCACCGTGGCTGGCTATCCATTCTATCTCGGTGGGCGTTATGGGGATTTCTGATTTGGGACAGAGGTGGACAGTGGATTATCAAGTATGTACAAGGATGCAACTCTATAGTGCAGAGTGTAAGAGGTGTGAGTGCTGATGGGAGATCACTCCAGCACACTGCCACAACAGAACCCAGTTTTCCAGCTATGGGAGATGGCCAGGAATGAAGTAGGGCTGGCGAGAGAGGAAGCGGTAGAGAGTGGGTCAGAGCACAGACAGTCAAGGATCTAAAGAGCTTTGCCATGAGCCACAGTGACTTCATGGCCCTGAACCTGAGAGGGATGGAGTTCCAGGATTAACGGCTCGGGGAAGAAACCTTTCCAGACCCCAGTCCCAGAATGTTGCTACAAACTGTTTGGATCACTCTCATGTTCTCCACATTGCAAGTTATGGTAATGCTTAGGAAGGCACCCACGTGGTCCTGCGCACCAAGGACAATGTACATCACAAGAGGGGTCATCCAGAGAAGCAGGTAGGATACAAAGAGTTCTCCACAGACTCAAGAGGTTATAGGCACAGTCTCTTAAAGTTGGTGGGCACAGCGGGAATGGAAGACAAGACAGAAATTTAGTAAATCTGCTGCCGAAGTGAGCACACAATACATGGAACCTCACCACCACCAATACTGGAGATCAAACTCAGGACATTGTGCTTGAGAGGCACGTGTGGTGCTACTGAGGTAAATCCCTGGTAACACATGGAAATTTTAAAAAGAAATTATTTGGCAATAGACGTGGCAGCTGAAAGATAAGTTGGCTGACTCAGACAGAAAAGGGAAAGGAAAATAAACACATCCCAGATTTTTTTTTAAAAA